TACGTAGACAACAAGGCCATGTTGGCCTTGTGTCGAGAGCAGCGCTTGGAGCACAGAACGAAGCACATTGCTCTCCGCTACTTCCTTGCTCGTGAGCTGCAGCAGCGTGGTCAGTTGCGACTTGCTTACGTGGCCTCTGAGGCCAACACTGCTGATGTGTTCACCAAGGCACTTGCGCCTTGCGACCATCAGCGCTTTTGTACCCAGCTGGGTCTTGTACCTGTCTTGCCTCACTTGCTCTCTTCTTGACTTTACTTGTACTTTGACATATATATACCTGCTCTTGCTTGTCTAGTTTTATATATATGTCTGTACTCCTGCATGTGAACTGGCCTCTGGCCTTGCTCTTGTGCTCGGACTGTGTGGTGACTTTGTGATCCACCCTGAGCTTGTTTTGCTTTGCTTGACTGGTCTTGTGACCCCTTGTTCTCCCCCACTTTGCCTATGGGGGTGTGTCAGATTATTATAGTTGATGCATGTTTGTAGGCTATAGTGGGGTAGCACATATGGGGTACAGTTTGCTAGGGTTGTATTTGTACCCAACTCTGACTTAGTCAATTCATTCCTGTTCAGTTAGTTTCACAATGTGCGCATCGCAATACTGGATAATTGTACGCATGCGGGCTCGGTGTGGTCGTCATATTAAGCCTTGCGGTTTGCCCTGTTGTAGTCTCCACAGACAAGTGTCGAAACTGCTCTGTATCCGTGGCGCCGTGGTCCCCCCCCCCCCCCCCCCCCCCCTACCAACCCCGCCCCCCAGTTTTACGCCAAGAAGGCGATGCATCTGCTGTTGCGTTCATGCGCCGCGCATGGCGTAACGCACTTGCCGACGGACGAGGAGAGGAACGTGGCCCTTCTCGTGGTGCTCCGGTGCCACTACGACGTATGTCAGCTAGACGTTGACCGCGCCATGAACGACGGGGCGCACAGCAAGGTTGTCAACAAGATCTGGTCGAATTTCAGGAGTGACTCGTCGTCGAACGGACGCCGACGGATCGTGGATGGGCTGGAGATCAAGGTCGCAGCCACCGGCATCTACAAGCTGGAGATAGATATCGACACCAAAAAGGATCTGCACTGGAAATACGCGCCCAGTGAGTGTCGTGGGTGCAAGGGGGGGATCCCCTATGGAGGGCTCACAGGGCAGGGCCTATGTATGCTGGGGCGGCTTTAACCACATACTTGCCTGCCGCACTGTGTACAGAGAAGGAGCTTATGCAGCTTGTATCGACATGGAGCTGCGAGAGAGGGGATTTGTGGCCCTTTACCACCAAAGTCTTTTTTCAAGCATGTAAGGCGGCCTTCCCAGAGTGGGTGTTTGGAGGCAACCTGGTGCTGGTGCCATACCACATCGCCTGGGTCTTGTATTCCGTGAGTGGATTGGTTCGATTCGTTCCGTGCTCTAAATGGCCCCATGTATCCCACTGACTGCCTTCTGCAATTAACCTGATGGCAGTTTGATTTCGGGATACGCAACTAGGAGACAAAAGCGATATGCATGACTCCTAGCCCTCTTGACGAGGGGGGTTTAGGTTACTGTAACGAGCAGGTGCTGAAAGTGATCACCCATTGGCTGGGTGTGTCAAAGGGCAGGTGGTACGATCCCGTTGTGGGCGGATTCCGTTGGGGGGCAGAGCACCTTTATGTCAACGAGAGTGACCTGGAGGAGTTCAAGCCCGTGCAATAGGGGGGAAAGATGGACCCGGGTGGTGACACCGACGAGCCGTGGCTCGCTTGATGTGGTTATCATGTAGTGCAGGGAGGCTGGGCGACTGGGCATGCTTATATGCGGGGCCTGTTATTTAGGGTGCGTGGTAGTGAGGGTGCTGGATATGACACGCACAAATACTAGTAGTGAACTAATGTTTGCTATGTAACTATGTACATATATAAGTGTAATATACTCCTTGCGCCACAAGATGTTATATGCATTTTGCGTTCGAACAATACAGGATCATATTGTAGCGAGGATGCGGCGCGGACGTGTACACCATAGGCATTATATATTGCGACCGATATAAACGTAACCCATGTAACAAGTGTCGACGCAGTTTACAACGGGGATTACGCGGTTTGTGTGCTAGACACGTGTGCCCCAAATCTGCCCTCGGAGTGACTTTTGGGTCAGTCTATCTGACCCGAACCTGACTTTTCCCGCCAAATTCTGACCCGTACCTGACCCGGAAGTCGCTTTTGGGTTAGCCCCTCTGACCTACCAATAGCCTAAAGTGTCAGTTCCAAAAGTAACTTATGGGTCACTTTCCGAGATGTCCCCAATCTTGCCCGGAAGTCACCTGGGGGCCCCTTTTGGGTCAGAACATTTTGGAGATGTCGGGCAACGCCGGCGTGTACTCGCGCTACTCGCTCCCCGCGTTTCTGCAGAATGCGACGTGCCCGCCAGAGTACAACAACGCCATCAGCACGAGCCGCCTCTACTGCTACGACGGCATGAGCCTGCCCGCGTGCTGCAACAAGTGCATCAGCCGCCGCACGTGCTCTTATTGGCAATTTTACCAACCGTGAGTGATGTTTCCTCGACCACCTTCAACCAACATTGATTCTATGGCTTATGAACCTGTACACGTATATGATAACAACTCTCATTCATGGTTGGATCCCGATCTATCGGGGAAACGGGCTGGGAAAAGGAACGATAACAACCTATTCATTCTCTCACTAACACTACTACTACTACCCTCATCTCTCCGAACAGACGATCGGATTGCGTCAACTGCGGCGTGTGCTACATCTATCCGCCGCTAGCGGCGCCTCCCACATGCATTCCTGACGGCATCCCGTGGAATGTTACCCGCGTGGCGCGGCCGTGCCCGTCGTCGCTCAACGACCCGCACTTCACGGGTGCAGAGGGTACGTAGTTCGACTTCAACGGGTTGCCAGACCAGAGCTTCTGCCTCGTCACGGACGCGCGAATCCACGTGAACATGCGCATGCGCGGGTACTACGACGACCGAACGGTCGTCGCGTCGATCCTGAAGGGCGGCAAGGCGGTGCGCACGTGGATCAGGGAGCTGGGCATTCTGTGGATCGACGCGGCGGGCGTGAAGCACTCGTTCCGCATGGCGGCGCGCGACGGCAAGGAGATGGCGCGCGGCGCGGGGTACATGGGGGAGATGGATTTCGCCGGCAAGGCGCTGCCGCTGCTGTCCGTGGGCAGCAAGTACGCGCTGCCCGGCGGGCTGACGGTGGCGTTCACAGGGTACGAAGCAGGGCGGCGGATTCTTCGACGTGGACGCGTACTCGCTGGAGGTGGACGGGCTGATCAAGCTGGACGTGAAGCTGCGGCCCGCGCATCCGCTGCTGCAGACGGAGGCGGACGCGCAGACGCACATCAACCTGCACTTCGCGAGCGTAGAGCGCACCCCCGCCATGCACGGCATCATGGGGCAGACGTACCGCGAGGGCCGGCGGAAACGCGCGTTGGAGTACACGTCGCTGTCGGTGCTGCTGCGGCGGTCGTTCGCGGCGGACGGCGTGGAGGGCCGAGGGTACCTGGACGGCGAGGTGAAGGACTACCGCACGTCCAGCGTCATGTCCGCCGACTGCCTCTACACCGCGTTCGACGGCCACACGCTACCTCCCATCAACGAGGCCAACGGTGTGCTCGTGGCTTAGCGCCTGGAGGAATTAGTACGCTTTACATGGATGTGGGGGTTTTGGGCTGCTAGTAGATCACTTTTGTGATCAGAGTTGTTACGCAAGTTCCTGTTTTTGTGGGCCCTATCAACGTGGGAGCCTGGGTCTGTAATAAGCGATCTCAAGGTTCCTCTGCCTTGAAACATGATCGTGTTTCGTCAGTGTCCGGAGCTTAGGACTTGTATGGATAGACTCTGTTGTTTGGAATATTATTGTCGAGCTTCCGAAACTTGAGATAAGGGAGCCGCGTCTACTTCTGATCTAGAAAGTAGGTACCATGAATGAGTGGTCTATTCTGGAAATCCCTGTCAGTATGCTCCAAGATTCTTTGAGTTAGCCTTTTCGCAGTGACTGTCCGTGAGGTAAGGGCGTGTAACTTTTTTGCACGCGACGGAACGAACCGTGGACCGTACGTCGATGCGAAGGGTTACCATTCTCGTTTAATGTCGTGCAGTTCTTCGCGAGGATGTGTGCGACGTCGCTACAAATTCGAACCGTCATGACACTTTTTCCACTTTCCAACGACACGAAACTCTGACAACGAACGTTCCGAAACACAAACGGACTGTCCGCCTGTCCGCGCACGCGATTGGCGGGCGAATTTGGATTTCAGCGGACCGCCTCGCCAAAACATTGGAAAATGCGACTCGGATTTTTGTGACCCTCTGACTGCGAAGGGCTTGGTGTCGACGGCCTTTGTGCTTGTTTGAAAATTTCAAATGTATGTCCGAAGCGCTGAACTCCACAGGCGAAAATTGCGATGGGTTGTGAGTGGCGTTACTGGTGTACATTTGAGATGGCGAAAGGAAAACCATCGCGGAACCCTAGCATGTGGAAAAAGTGTCACATGCATTCGTACCGTCCGAAGTTGCAAACATTCAAATCGGACAGTCCGTTTCGGTATAAACGTACCGTCCGATTACATATAATCGGACGGTACGTCAAAATCACAAAATGCAAAAAAGTTACACGCCCTAAGACCGTTCTTGGGATGGGAGTGGCACCTACGTGACAAGACGGGAGACAATATGGCATGGGGTGGGATGTATATGAGTGGATTGCATTGACGCCAGAATGCGGCTCGTCAACTTCGCACGAGCCGCACAAATGTAAATTTCTTGACCCGCTAGTGCACTACTCAGTCACTCATTTCATTGCACACATACCGAACTGTATAAGGCCAAATCGGCCCTATCCGTTGGGGATATCACCACCAACCACAAATCCAGCATTGCAAGATTGTCAGCCTTTCATTGCACACGTACCACAAACAGAGAAAAGATCAGGATGCAAAAACAATACAGTCTCTAGGAAAATAAACTAGAGAAATTCAAAATATTTACTCACTACATCCCTATCTTCCAATAACCATAGTGGGATTGAGTGGGGAGGAAGGAGAAAGGCACGGTGGTTTGCCAAGCGAGCCTGTGAGGATGTCAAGAAGAGCACGTGCCTTGACACACGCACGAGCAGAGAATGCTGGCCCGTCCATTGCTTGCTGCAATGCCCCAATCACCCCTTCTTCTACCATCCTAGTGGCACAACTCGCACTCATACTACCACTGCAGCTGCAGCTCCCACCGTTACCGCCGCTGCTGTTACTACTGCTGTTGCTGCTGCCGTTGCTGTTGCTGCTGTCGCTGCTTTCGCTGCTGTTCCGGCAGCTGCTGTGGCAGTGCCCTGTGGGGTTCTGTGCGTCGAGATCCTGGCTGGTGTGCATGAGCATGAGCAGAGTCATCACTGCATCCTCCCGTGTCCTCTGCGACTCATCCTCCTCCACAAGCTCAACCAGTGCTGAAATAGCATCCACTCCATGGCACTGCGGGTTGTCGCTGCCGCTGCTCCCATTGCCGCACACACCGCCGCCGCCGCAGCAGCGCGGTTGCCCCACGGCCAGCAGCCGCTTACACCCCTCCTCTCTCCGGCACACATTCGCTGTCACCGCCATCACCTTTTCCACCAGCCCCACCTCTCGAAACGTCAACAGATCTACCAGAACCTCCACTGCTCCTGCTGTCACCAGCTCCTTGGCCCCATCCTCATCCCTTGACAGGTTAAACAGTACCAGTGCAGCATCCTTCCGCCCTCTTGTGCTGCCCGTGCGAAGGAGATCGACCAGCAGAGGCACTGCGCCTGCTGCACGCACCTTATCAGCCGCCCCATCGGCAATCGACAGGTTGAAGAGCGTCGCTGCAGCGTTCTCTCGCGTGCCCATGGACCCGCCCCTTCTCAGCACCCCCACGACCGCCTCGATTCCCCCGCACGCCACCAGCACCGGCGTCGCCCCCGGGTGTAACGCCACGTTGAACAGCGCGGTAACCGCGTGCTCGCGCACCTTCCCATCGTCAGCTTGCTGCAGAGCGTCGACCAGAAAGTCCACAGCACCGGTTGCGAGGAACTCTGCCTTGGTGTGCGCGCTGCCCTTGAGCAACGCGCGCAGGTCGGCAGCGGCGCTGCGGCGGTGCGTGATGGGTCCCTTGGACATGTGAGCGAGCAGAGACCACACGTCTGTAGGGTCGTAGTCATAGCCTTGCTCTGCTGCTGCTTCCACCTGCTGCTGCGTCACCTGCTGCTGCACTGCCTGCTGCTGCTGCTGCTGCTTGTTAGGGCTAAGGCCTTGCTGCAGCTGCTGCTGCCCCTGTGCCCGCTGCTGCTGCGGCTGCTGCTGCTGCTGCTGCGGCTGCTGCGGCTGCTGCTGTTGCTGCTTCCGCCCAGGGACCAACGGCAGAGGTCCGGACCCCCCTCCACCTCCCCCCGTCCCCCCTCCCACCCTCCACTGACCAGAAGAATCAGACCACTCACTTCCCTCGTCCCCACTCCCCAACCTCACCATCCTCCCTCCACTTCCTCCTCCCCCTCCTCCTCTCCCCCCCTGACCCACTACCCGCCCTTTCTCCCCACCACTCCCTTCCCTCATCAATCCTGCACCTGCTCTCACCACACTCCCCACAGCGCCCCCTTCGCCCCTCAGACTAGTTGTGCTGCCAGAAGACGCGGTCCCAGGCCGTGCTATCAGCCCCACGCCTCCTGCTGCTCCTCCCCCTCCTGCCCCTCTCCCCCCTGCGCCAGCACCCTCTGATTCAGCACGCACAGGCACAGAGAATGTTCTTTGCAGCCCTCCCTGTCCCTTTCCTTGCCTTGGCCCTTGTCCTTCGCCTTGCCCCGCCCTTCCTGTTACTGCCGAGGTCACAGCCGTTCCCGAGCCTGCAATGATCCCGAAGCCTGGTTTCCCGGGCCGAAGTACAGTGTTTTGAGACTGGCCCAGCTTGTCAACCGCCCTGCCTTCCGGACCGGTTGGCGTCCTCGGCCGCCGAACCTGCGATTGAGGCCGGGACTGAGGCTCGGCCGGCCCTCCGTCATCCACAGCACCCCAATCCGATTGCACTGATTTTGACCGATGTATGTGATGAAACCGCGAAGGTTGCTGTTGCTGTTGCTGCTGCTGCTGCTGCTGCTGAGTGTTTTGAGACTGGCCCAGCTTGTCAACCGCCCTGCCTTCCGGACCGGTTGGCGTCCTCGGCCGCCGAACCTGCGATTGAGGCCGGGACTGAGGCTCGGCCGGCCCTCCGTCATCCACAGCACCCCAATCCGATTGCACTGATTTTGACCGATGTATGTGATGAAACCGCGAAGGTTGCTGTTGCTGTTGCTGCTGCTGCTGCTGCTGCTGCTGTCGCTGTTGCTGTTGGTGCTGCATAAGGGGAATTTGAGAGGAAGAAGATGAGGAGCGGGGAGGCGAGAGCGAGGGTGACATGTCCACAGAAGGGCTCTTTCTCCCCTTGAGAGGTGAGCAGGTGGAGGAGGAGGAGGAGAGGGAGGAGGAGTAGAGCGGGTGAGTGAGCGCAGCACCACTTGAATTAGACCTCGGAATGCGGCATTGTTGCTGCTGCTGTCGCTGCCGCGGCTGCCACTGTAGATCTTCCTCCTCGTCCTCATAAAACTCATCTCTTTCCTCCTCTCCGTCCTCCACATGCCGCTGCATCCCAATACCGTGAAAACTCTCTCCCTTCGTATCTGCTCCTGCTCCTCTGTCCCCCCCAAGGTCCCTCCATCCTCCTCCCATAAAGCCTTCCTCGTTCCCCCCTTCCCCGCTCTCTCTCAGCCCGACCAGCATCTCTTGAAACTTCCCCCTCCGGGGCTGTGAATGCGCGCGCCCAGGTAGCTTCTCCGCCTCCCCTGCGCCTCCACTTCCCCCTCCCCCTCCCGCGCCCCCCATCACGCTGGAGTGCAGAGAAGAGGCGCGGCGGAGGCCACCGCCCTTCCGTCCGCCACCGCCCCCGCTTGTCCCCCTTCCCCTCCCTGCAGCATTCGCAGCGGGGCGGACTCGCACTGCTCCTGCTGCCCCTGCTGCTGCTGCGCCAGATGCGCCCGCGCCAGACGTAACTGTACCAGGTAAACCTTCCCAGCCTATTGTTGCCCTGGCGCCTTCACCCCCTCGTGCCGCTGTAGTTACTGCAGCATGATCGTCCCCTTCCTCGGGACCATAAAGCTCCCTTTCCGCTCCCGCACTCTCCGCTTCCTCCTCTTCCGCCGTCAAATACGTACCCGTTATTGCACCACTCACACTGTTGCTTCGGTGTCGCCACTTGCTGGGAGACTGGTGCGCGCCAATGCTGCTGCTGTTGCTGTTGCTGCTGCTAATTTTGCATCCCACGTTTATACCGTTACTGCTGATGTTATTGCTTTTACTGTAGTTACTGTTCCCACCGTTATTAAGGCAAACGGATTGGGACCGCGGAAGTGAACCACTCGAGGGGGGACCACCACCGTTACCGTTGTTAGACGCGCTGGTGCTGACGCTGCTGCTTCTGCTGTGCTGCTGCTGCGGCTGCTGTTGCTGCTGCCGCGCGTTGGGGTTCCTCCTCTCGTTACAAGAACCCCCGCTGCCAGAGCTCTGGCCCTGCTGCGACTGCAGCTGCTGCTGCATCCACCGCCGTTGATCCCCGCTGCTCTGCATCCCCCTTACAGCGGAGCTCAGCCACTCGCTATTGAGCGTCGGGCCGCCTCCCTTTCTCAGCCTCACCGTCGCGCCGCCTGTTTTCCTCCCCTGCGCATTTCCCTCTACCCCCCCTTCGCTGTCATACCTGCTCATATCCTCCAAGCACGCGCTCGTGCTGCGCATAACGCCCCCCCGGCCGCCGCCACCGGCGCCGCCGCCGCCGCCACTTCCGCCGGTCCCTCCCCCGCCTCCGCCCAAGCCTCTACCACCAGTCAACCCCACTGCGCTCCCACGAGCTGCGATGTTCCCTAGCTGGTGATTCGGCTGCGATACGTGCTGCTGCTGCTGCCTGCTACGGCCCTTGCTATCTGCGCCGTTGCCGATAGATCCCTGCCTCTGTACGCGCCCGAGCCCCTGCCCATGCGCACGAAGCGCCTCCGCCGCAGAAACAGCGTTTCCCGCTCCGAAGGAGCTCGCCCGCACGCCGCCATCCTCGCTCTCGTCGTCGTCCCCGAGAATTCGGTCCAGCGCGACTCGTAGCCGCTGCTTCTGCATGTCCCGCGCGCCCACGCTCCCGCCACCACAACCTCCTCCGGCTCCTCCTCTTCCTCCGCCGCCGTCGGCGCCGCCATCGCTGGTGACGCCGGCACCGGGATCGCCCGAGGGGCTATCGCGGTCGCGTCCGTTTCTGCTTTTCCCGGCGCCGCGATGCTCAGGAGGGGAGAGGAGCAGAATTGGCGGAGAGGCGAAGCGCGTGATATCCGCAACGGATCGCGACCGATGGTGCGACGCGATGAGCCACGTAGGCGAGTCGCACTCGCCGATGCCGTCGCGGTTCGAGCCGGAAGACGAGGAATCGCTGGGAACGTAGAGCGAGGATCCCGGCGCCGATGCCGCTACTGCAGCTGAGCCATTCTGTAGCGGAAAGTTTAGGCGAGAGGAAAGGGCGGGGTCGTCAGTTCGAATCGATCCTTGCCGCGCGGGACCAAGGCCGGGAAGGGAAAGCGGAAGCGGAAGAGGGCCGCCCGCGGAGAAGGCAGAAGCCTGCGAGTGTGATCGAAGAATAGGGCGGTTTGGAGGCTGCAGCGGCAGCTGCGGCTTCGGCTGCGGCTGCGATTGCGGTTGCGGGTTCTGAAGCGGATTTGGGGCCCGATTCTGCTTCTGATTCGGAGAAGTGTGCCTCGGAGAGTTGTACGCCTGCTGCTGCTGCTGCTGCTGCTGCTGCTGATGGTGGTGGTGATGATTAATAACAGTGGTACTCTCGTTGCTGGTGTGCGGAATGATAGCTTTAGGGTAACCGCCGATGTCGGCTCCATCGGTGGCCACGACAGGGCTGCGCGCTCCGGGCTGTATACCCCACGCGTCACACCAATCGGCGATTCGATCTCGTAGCGCGGGAAGCGAAGTTACTCGAAGGTGATCGAGCGGCCGCGCATCTACCGGACAGTCACGCTCACCGCTATCGAACCAGTCCTGTATCGCTTCCCACTCAAACGCGTACCCCGATGACGTCGCGACAGGATCCGCCATGACTTGGAGGGAGAGCGGACAGACAAACTCCGCTGGAACCGCCACAGAGCCCGCTCCCCCGATGTGGTTTGCGCTAATCGCGGTATTTCCATTCGCGCTACATAAATCTGGCGGTGGGTTTCTAAGGAGGAACGTGCCTGCCGGCGGCGCAACTGGCGGCGGCGCGTCTCTATCACGATAATGCTCACTGTGGTGGTGAACGTCGGCCATGACGGTTCGTTGGACAGAGCTAATCATTTCTGTTAGAATCCAGGAGTTGTTAAACTTTTCATGGAAGGGGTTGTAGGAAGCAATATGCTGTGGTGAAGGTACCAGGGGAGGAAGAAATTGATGAAGTTACCGTGGGGAAAATCCGTTGGGATAATGAGGGAGGCTGAACGTGGGATTGGTTGGACGGAGGAGTGATGCGAAAAGCTTGGAACTTGGAACGTGGGGAGGGGAAGAGGGAGCAAGCACGAAGGGGGAATCCTGGGCTGAGTGGAGGTGGTTGTGCAAACGAAGAAGAGCGCTCGGTTTCGGTTGAATTCGTTGTAAAGCGGTAGAAAGCGGAGCCCTGTCTGAGCCAGAGGAAACAAATTGAACCGCATGCGACGAATCGCGCTGGCAGCCGTTGGACATGCCAGGCTGCGTTGATTTCTCGTGCTGCTGGCCGCTGGTTTCATTGTGGATGGCATCGACTTCAGCGTACGTGTAGGAGCGGGAAGCGCCGCCTGCTTGACATTCTGCTAAACTTGTGGTACTGTAGAGAGACCCTCACCATGTTTGCTCAGTTACTCAGTGCTGGTCAACTACACCGACGATATGCGTTCAATACTGGATAGTACACCCCACTAAGGTCTTTTGGGAACGATGATGGAGGTGTGGAAAGCACCAAGTTGTGGATGTTAGAGGAATGGGTAGCAGCATAGGTGCGATCGCGGTTAGGTGAACGGTATGCGGGGAAGGTGGGGTGAGGTGGGGAGGGAGGAAGGAGAGGGAGAAGGTTTCTCTTGCAGATGAAGGTGGCTCTGTGGGAA